TACGTTACGTATATATATATATATATATATATATATATATATATATATATATGTATATTCATGCCAATGCGTGCACCTTATTTGGCATGTGTGATTACATTTCGTATGCGGGCGTCCGCAGGCACGGGGAACGCGCCTCGCACGATACATGTTATTTTCCATTTTTAGGCTGATCGTTCCCTTTCGACTTTGATATAATGTGGCACTCTGGCGCGGCATACCGATTACGAAACGCGCGTTAGCGCAAGCGAGATCATTTCACTTCCGGCCGAATCCTCGCGGCAACACGCACGAATTTTTAAGACCGGCCGAGATTCCAAGAGGCCTTGTTAATCTAATTGGCAGACGAGCGATTTGCGCGACTTACCGTGAAATCCTGCGAGAGAACGTCGGTTTTCCCCGCATATTCTTCGCAAATTAAACGCCAAGTTGCAATGGAGTAGAATGAAATACGACTGAAGTTTCTAATCACAATCTTTTGAACTCGATATGACCGAATGACACATTAAATTATTACGTTGACACAAAAAGATCGCTGCATATTTAAATAAGCCTCAAGGACTTGTGGCATTTTACATAAAACTTTTTATCTCCGACTGGATTTATGTATGTTTATCTATTTAATTTATGTAGAAATACAGCATTTATTATTCTAAACTTTTGCAATGTTCCCCTTAAAAATCGAGGTTTTGGCCTTTGACATTTTTTTGCTCTTTTCAAGTACATCTTGACTGTAGACATTCAAAAATGACGATGTATTATATATCTCTTTATCTACGACGACGTATTATATATCTCTTTATCATCTATTATATATCTCTTTATAATTAACATTATAATTAACGGCTTGTTTAAATATAGAAAATTAAATTCACTGTGATGTTATATTTTCGATCTTGTCTCCCAGAATTAATTTTATCCGTACGTGTGAGACATGAGATTTTGATCGATAACACGTGATATTTTTTACACATCAATCATCACGTTTGTCGTTCGCTGGAAACTTTGTTTACACGACGCGCATTTCATCGTCGTTAAGCGTCGGCAATTTACTTTTGTACGGCGCAGCGTGTTATCGGGTGCCCCGACGGTGTAAATCGCCGCGAGATTTCACATCGTCTTTATTACGTCCGCGCGCCTCGGTAATTCGTGCCTTAATTGAAGCGATATCGGGGGGCCCGACGTCGAGATCTCTTAAATTACGAACATGCCTGGCCTGGTTGAACATCTACTTGCGTTGCGTTACATCGCGTTGCATTGCGTATTTATTAGATACAATCAATCGTGTGCACACGTAATCTCCCGTTTGTCGGCCGCACTACTTATCGCACTGCGTTATTAAACGTGTATTCTTCAGAACGACGATATTATCGAGAGGGATATGATGATTTTTTTTCCCCTGCCTACGGAGAAATTGTCTTGTTACCTGCGATGCGTCGAGTTAAGCGTTTCGCAAATTGTCGACTTCCGGCATTTTCCCCTCTTCTCCCGGAGGGGTACCGCCGCGAAGGTACGGTACAAAGTCGTGCGAGGTCTTTTTCAGCAGCTAATGGCCCGCTTCTGGATTGTTTCGTAATCTCGAGAGATAGGACAGGTTCCTCCTTCTTTCGGCACGATTCGTCAATTCCGCATTTCACGGGACATAATTGCAGCTGCCACCCGTCCTCCCATTCCCCCCCCCTCCCCTCCCCCTTCCCTCTTGTCCGGACTTGCTCTAACGTATACGTGGACAAGTGTTCTTCGTGTACTTCGTGCATTTTTTTTATTTATTTACTTAATCAGACAGTCGCTGTTAATACGGACTTTCCCTGTAATTAGCTCGGGTCGGCGACGGGAGCGACAGAGAAGGAGAAACAGACGGAGAAGAAATGTATCACGTCTGTATCACGAAAGAAGGACGGAGAGTAAGAGGTAAAAGCGGAAGAATAGGCAGGTTTTTTCATCGCATAGTGTGTATGTGGAGTGCTACACGGATTTGCCACATAGATACCTCGGCCACGTGATAGATATTTCGCCGATAGTTTTCCATTCAGGCTGCCTGGGAAACGACACTTTTCCATAACGAGGCGTGGAAATGAGGGTTTACGTAACGTCGTCTTCCGCAACGCAATTCCGCTTGTATTAGAATAAATTACGGATCTATTGTTTCGCGAATGAAACTTTTTCTTTTTGGGCAATTTCACTTTCGAACGTAAGCATTCCGTTGGCGCCAGCTTTCCGTCATCGACTAAGTGAGGGTTAAAATTCAGGCTTTAAACTTTAAATTATGAGATTTTTATTAAAACTAGATGAAGCAAGATTATAAATAGTCGCTGATTTTTTGTAGATACTTTCTTGTCTGTTGCTTATAACACAGTTTTCTATAACCGATTTCGCTTATATCAAAGTCTTTGTAAGATTAATATATTTTCCTTTGAAAAACCTTGGCTGTTTTCCTTAGAGAAAACTTACGAAACTTATAAATTATCGAGATAGAATCCGTTGATAATGGATACAATAATAAAATTAGCGAGATTGTCTGTGTAGATATTTGTGTCAAGAAAGGTTTTAGAAGGTTTTTCGACATAAATACATATTTTATTAATAAATTCTCTATTTTTATTCAATTCTTTGATATATTCAGATTATGTCACTAAATTGATTGAAAAAAATAATAATAAAATAATGGTAAAATATACAAACCCATGACATTTTAAAGAATTAATTAAAATTATCTTTTCCGAATTTAAATTTTGGACGAGAAAATTATATGTAAAATAAAAATTATCTTTTATAAATATAACGTACAATTAATGATAAATATTAATAACGTTAATACCTTACCCTAAATTATTAGGTAGAAAAAAATTCGTGAATAGAATTTGTCAATGAAGTTGAATTGTCACAAACTATGAAGGATTTTGACTTACCTTTAGACGATATCGTTGTCGTAGCTCGGTCCACGTCTTGGGACATCTTGGAGGAATTTGTAGGCACCAAGTGAACGAGTTCACTACAACCGGCTCGGTATAAGTCTCGTATGATGTAATCGTATAACTGTAAAGTCGATTAATTAACCATTAATTGATCCAATTCCCTTATCGGGTTACAGCGAGGTATGAGACGAGGTGTGCATAATAATGATTTGTATTACATATGCTGGCTGCATTGTCAAGGCATTTAGGTGAAGGTCTTTTAAAAAAATATTCAATATATCGAATTAAAAATCGAAATCGCTTAAGCCTGATTTGAATAATCAACAATTTAAATTAAAGAAGCTACTTGTAATCTTCGCGCGCGCGCGCGCGCGCGCGCGCGTGTGTGTGTGTGTGTGTGTGTGTGTGTGTGTGTATCCTAAATTTTTCAATTGCTTTTTTATTATTTATTATGGACAATTTTTTACAGTTAAACAAGTACTTTTTATATTTGGAATAAAAGATGTTTAAAGTTTGTGAAAGTGAGAAAGAAAGTTTTAGTACAGTCTAGTGCAATGATAAAAAAATAAGCATAAAGTCATAATTTTGAACTTTTGATTATAATTAAATCAAATTTATGAAAATTTATGAAGATAAGTTGTTAAATTATTAAAATGAGCTGTATCTAATTACCGTGTTTTGATACTAACTTCTCTATTCTTGAGCAAATGTGATCTCCGGTCAACGAGTTAGCGAAGAATACAGTTTCAAATGCCACGATTAGGACAAAGATCCACGAAATCTCCAAGAGACTCATTTCAGTAAAATTGCAAAGCTAAAAAATATCTCTCGATTAAACTTTCTAGATAGTATAAATATTATAGATCATCTTGGAATGTACTTACTAAAAGGAGAGGAGGATTTTTTAATTCCTAAACACACACGATTTCCTTAGAACAATCCACATTGAAAAGACTCCGGTGGTTGTCGCCGTTGTCTGAGTAAAAGTGACCCTTCCATTTTCCGTTTGTACATCCAACCAGAAATCGGCTAATTAGTTGAAGAAAAGAACTATTATAAGATAGAAAGTATTTCGTGCTTTACTGTTGATAATTTAAGGAAACAGAATTCAGACGTTGTGATAAATGAATTCTTCTCATCAGACGTGTTGTAATATATAGGATCATAAATTATAATAATTTGAATAAAAAAGAACTTTGTGAAATCTCCGATTATATTATCGTGACGCTGTTCGGACAGTCGTACAGGATATGGTTCGAAATATTAGTTGCAAATGAATGCCTGACAAGGGAACGTCCCCTCCGAAAAAGATCTTTGGGAGGAAGTATTAACTGACTCCAATCGTGGTACAGTAAAGTGCGACATTCAATATTGAACATATGTCAAGTGTGAATGTCAAAGCAGACAGTCGCGACAGAGATGTAGAATATTGCATGACAGAATGAAACACTGCCGAAATGAAACGTATCGAAATCAATATTTGCACGTGAAAAAAATCTTTATTTTGAGGAACAAATAAATTTTGTAATAATTTCTGCAACAATTTAATTGCGTATTAATCATATCTGATCTGATAAAGTCAAATCATTTACTGCATTATTTATTTATTTATTATTTATTGATTTGAGATATTGTTATAATAAAATGTATAATATATTGTAAATATATTATATATATTATATTATAAACAATTTTGTTACGTCAATTATGATTCAATTATAATTTTAAAAATGATCTTTGTATTAAATGATGTTGAGTTATGAAAATAATGCGAAATAAGAATTTCGCAGTTGATTAGAATAGCTGCTACAATACGTTAATTCAATTAACTAATATTAGTACGGACAAAGACATTTTGAAATTCCACATGTGCTACATAACACAGCGTTTTTATATCTTCTATTACATGGAGCAGGCAAAAAACCGACGATGTTCATTCAAACGCGTCGACCAGCTGTTCTATTCGTGAGAATTTTATTTCTTCTATCTGAAACTATTGCGACAACCAATTCTCGTAATTTGAAAGAAAGTCTTTTAATTGAAATACATGTTTACTGATATCGTTCGTTATATATGCGTGAAAGTTACACGAAAAGAATGGTTTCGTTGAAATACCTAAAAATTAAGCCAAATACAGAGTTGAAAATAATTTTGTTGGACTATCCAAATAATTATGTAGTTTAAGTATAATTATAATAAAAACTTCTTATATTCTTATAATTAGCTCAAATGGTCTGCATAATTATATTTTGATAGTCTAATCAAATTAATATTTGGGAAAAGAAAATAGTTATTACATACAGGTATAATGTATAATTTATTTAATTATTTTTATAATTCATAAAATTTTTCTCTGTTACAAAAACAATTCTATTTTGACTATCTCGTATATAATTGTAATAAATACTGAAAAAAAATATATTTTTGTGTTTAATAAATTCCGAGAGTTAACTGGTCTGGATGTTTGAATTTTTCAGCATTTTGTAACTGCCTTCGTATTTTATAATGTCTATGCATTTATACATCAGGATTGCCGAAATAAGAAGGGTCCGTGATAAATTTATGCCATAATTTACAAAAAGCATCAATATCTTCAACCGATGCGATCAAAATATAAATTCCAAGGATATCTGTTTTTTAGTATTAATTCAGAGGTCGTCAATTTTTTCGTCTACACAAAAGTCTTTGAATATTCTGTTCCGCGGATTTGAACGATTTAAAATTCCTGAAAGCAATTGATGGCAATTGTCACGATTGCACAATTTACAATTATTGAAATACCTAAGCCGAAAACGCACCGAGTCTTATGTAGGACTGTAAAATCAGCAATGAAAATGTAAATACAAATTAGCTCTCAATATTTCGGTTTACATGCGTTTCACCGAGCTCTTTTACGAGCGCTTATGTAATTATAATCAGTATGACCGTGCCAATTAGGCTAAAAAAAAACCTTTCTCATGATAGTTTATGAGGAAAGGATGAAGAAAGTAAAGCAATATGTCTTTACCGCAATCGTTTAATCGTCTCGCAAAGAAGAAAAAAGATATATGTCGTTATGTTATTGCCAGTTTGGTATGTAATTTAAATGCAATCGCTTTCCGTGTCGTTTTTAGTTTGGCGTTATTTTTTTCTTTTTAATAAAACGTGCAAACGTTTCCAATTATTATTGCAGCGATAATAAAATATAATAATACTAGTAATTCGGTTCCAATTTGTGCATTACATAACATTTTTTGCAAAATTTATCCTTTAAAAATTTATTAAATTTATTTATTAAATTTATTTTATTAAAATTTCTAAAAATTATGTAGATTAAATTTCCAGCTTAAATTTATATGAATATTTCTGAGAAAATTTATTATACACAGAGTATTTTAATAATTCAAATAAAAATATAACTTAATTACTTTTTTACTCACTTTTTTTTCACAGTATGCGTACTGAACTTCGATTTAATCCACGTAGTTCTTTAAATGTTACACCACTTTCACGCTAATCTTAATTTATCACTCTTCTCATAATCTTTGAAAACACGATAACGCGTTTGGAACAAAAACAACAAGTTAACTTCTTACGATACAAGAAACTTCTGCCTGGTGCAAAACGCGGTCGTATTGAGATAAGCGAAACGATGGACCATGTCGTTGCCCTTTATCTCGCGACAACACCAATATCATCTCGCGGCTGCACGCAGCTGTGCACGATTCTACGAGCAGTTTTTTTTTTTCTTTATCTGAGGCCGAGCCCTCCGGGCTCCGGGAAATGTCACTGTCGCTTTCACAGAGCGATTCGTAACTGGCTCGTAACGAGCAATTGGCGTCGCCGGTACTCGGAATGCACTTGTGGCACAATGAACTCCGACCCTCTGACAACTCCGACGAACACGACGACTACGACGACGACCACGCTACGGAGGGGAGGTCCGAGGGGAGGGCAAGTCCAGAGGGGCGAACAGTGGGCCCTCGTTCCGAAGTCGGAGGGAGACGGCGCGGTACCATCATGCTGGTACTTCGGTTTGCAAAACGTCGCGGATATCCTTCCTGCGGAGACATTGACATTGCGACCAGCAAAGTGCCATTACGAGTCACCCGCGACGAAGCATGACGATGGGAGATGTGAGATCGGCATTGCGTATATGGAGAAATATAATGAAATTCGGCATGGTTTTGAGAGCGGGAAGATGTGACTCGACGAAGCGACCGAGCGACGTGTTCTCGAAAAAGTAAATTATTGAAACAAAAATCGACCTTTCTTACGTATCCAATTATAGCTGGGGGAAAAAAAATCGCTTTCGATCTCGCGGGAATTGATATGGCACTTTTTTCTTCGATCACGCTCGACTGCACGACGGAAATGATCGGGCGACAAGCGCGAAGTATGAGAACTTGTAATATTCCATAATGTAATCTAGGGCTTTCGTTCGGCATTACAACATTGTACCGAAACAACATTGTACATTACTCAGCATTATCTGCTATAGTTGTACTATATTTGTCTGTTACGTAATTAAATTATGCATTAATTTGCACTATTTACATCAATAATAACGCACGCTCTGTTATCACAATTCTCCACATTTGTGCCGCAGTCGTAATAGTTTATTTTCGCTCGTAGCCTGATATGTCGGATGTGGATGCGACTGGTGGAAAGAACGTTAGGAAAGAATTGGAATAGATAGGCGAAAGCCGGTTTAGAATTTAGAGTTGTCTGTCGGAACAGTCGAGAGCAGGCAGACTCATGTAATGAGATGATTGGGAGGGCAATTCACCGTGTTCCCTCTTGTTCTCGCGGCACGCAATAGATCGTGCTACGACTGGATCGTCGTCCGAAGCATCGACCGCTTAATCCCGTAATGCTGCACAACATCCTATTAAATAGAGTAATTAGCAATTACAGAGGAACGTCTCCCTCCTGCATGCTTCGTTGAAAATAATCATTGTTGAAAATAAAACCAAATCTTGCGTAGCTTTAGACAATTTATCGAATTTATTGTCAACGCTTTGATAACTTTGATCAAAGCATCAAAGATTTTCAATTAAAAAATTAATATATAAAAATAAATATACAAATTGATTTAAAAAATTATAAATATAAAAATTAATATAAATTGTTAGATGCTTTTATAAATTTTAGAGATGCAGTTTTTAAATAACGTATCGTGAAACAATATTAAATAATTGTTTTACCTGATTTTTATTAATATCTTACAACTTTAGCTTTATCTAAAAGTAAAATGTATAATGTTGAGGAAAATACAGCAGTCCTTTTCTTTCAGTTCTTTCAGTTCTTCAGTTATTCTGCATTTTCAAATGCCAACCTCGATGACGCATGTCCTACGTGTGCACTCTATCGTGCAATTGCAGCCAGCTAAACAAACATTTCGCAATTACAAGGCGCAATAGCCACGAACGAGTGGGCTCTGCGTCTAAGTTGCATATCATTTATCTACATGATGCATTTCGGCGACCATCCGATGCACGAAGAAAAACACGAGGAGGCATACTTCCTGCGTTTAACAACACGCAAAAATTCAAAATTAATTATCAATTTTGAAACGCAATAAAAATTTCCAAGAATTATTATTTCATTTTCATATATATATATATATAAACTACTTGCATAATTTAATTTATTTGCATTAACACAACGCTTTTATTTTATTAATATAATAATATAATGTGTGCATGCCTTATTTATAATCAGTTAAATTTAAACTCGCCATAATAATATAAATTTTGTAAAAGTCATTTGTATATTAAATTCAAATATTGCATTAGAAAATTATAAAGTAATATGTAACATTCTTCGCTGTATTATGGGCTTTATAAGAATGCAGCTTGTTAAAAAAAAAAAATACTTTTATCGAGTGATCGTATCCGCCTGTTGATTCTAATCTATTTTTTTTCTTAAGTAATATAAAAGTTAAATGCTCTTCCTCGTTGGTGTAGGTGTAAATTTTTTACGTAATATGCGCCAATGCTTTTACTTACCTGTTTTATTTGGAAAAAGTAATTTTTTGTAAGCTTTATTAAACTACATTCTCCAGTGGCTCGTATTACTCGTCGAGATTTAATAGATCTCGTTAATTCCGGCAACGGAAATGGTGCATAAATATGTGTCGCGAAGCGTCAAGTGTTTTCCCAAGAGATACTCGTTTTTCGTTCAAATCCCTGACCGAATTCCCGTTTGTTCGTCACTGCATAATTAATACGAACGTTTTTAATGATGGTAGAGCCAACTGGGTGTCGCGCGCATTCGCAGCATGCCGATTAATTTCATTTCGCAACTTTGTGTGAAATCACGCTGAGAGCACCGTTGCTCAATAATGCGCGGAGGATTCGGACATCTGCGTGTGAAATATATATTTCCAATTTATTTAAAACGTTGGGACGTGGCAATCATATATATATATAGATTATTATTATATTATTATCTATACGTGAGATTTATAGTAAAAATATACAAAATTGAATTACAAATTCTACATAAAACTAAATCAAAATCTGACCTGACTTTTTTTCCTTTAGATAAGGTAAAATAAAAATTACGTTGCAAAAATGTGTCATGAATATATATAGCTACGTTGACACACATTTATATTTTTTCCAAATTTAGTAGCGATTGCTCTAAAATGAAAATGAGAAGATTTATACATCGATGAGCATTTCTCTTATTAACTAGTTGATTATTGGCGAGTGAGATTGTCGAACTTTTTTTCGCGATACAATTAAGCTCGGCGATTTGCCGAGCAATTGAGGAAAGAGAACGAGGACTGAGAACTGTGGACTTGCTCGTGGCATTTAGATCGATTTAAACTTCTCTTCGTCCTTGCATCTAAAGTGGATAAACAAGCCGCTGCTGCAAGGAGCGACCCTCGCTCCTAAATAACATCTACTCGTTTTTCCGTCGATTTTTCGTTTCTTAAACTACGCCTGGACTTTTCGCACCAATTTTGCGCCGATCGTGCGCCGATACGATGACGATCGTCGCAACTGACGATTGCTCAAGAATAATTGCCGAGGGAAACATTTCTTCGTAATCGCCGATGACGCTCGCGTCGAGTGTGCACCTCGAAGAAATGGATAACCGATAATTGATTTTACACGATCCGAGGAGATTATGTGGGATTATTGTTCGAGAGGAGAGAAAGAGTGGGATACTTCGATATTAGCCCCGGCCCCGGATTTATGCAATTCTGCATCCGCATTGGGAACCGCCTCTGCGAGATTTCGATTGCGAATCGATTGAAGGTAGAAACCGCATGGAACAACGGGAGTTGCATAACGATTACGCTAATATGTCACGTTGTTTAATGCGCCCGGCCGATCGGGTGAAACGTTCAAACGACGCTCATGCGTCGTGCGTTGCGAGATACCGCGATTTGGATACGGGAAATAGAAAGCGGTCGGAGTTGCAGAAATTTTTTCGTGCTCATCAAGCATTCTAATATCGAAGAATAATATCAAAGAGTAATGGAGAACGATGAGGCGTCTCGACGGAGCGGGAAATCAACGTCTCTCGCGGCACTTTAATATTTGTACATAAATTCTTGAATTTTATTGTAGATAATAAATTATACGGATCGACATTATGTTAATGATAAAACTCAGATGTTCTCTGCAGGTGCGAATGGCACTTCCGTTTAATAATGTCAAGAACAGACGAAGAGAATCTCTATCTTATCTATACGTTGTTTATAAATTATTAGGTTTGCTGATTATTATTCTATGTGACTGTGATGAAGATTAAAATCAAATTTGAAGAAATTTAATAATTTAATAATTTTATATACGAATTGCCCGTAAGAAAATTTTAAAAGCTTTCGTAAGATACAGCGTGATTCGCAGCGTGATTAAAGATGAGCGGTAAAATTAATATTGGACAAGTGTATAAAAAAAAATCTGGTATGGTAATCGTTATGAAACGATGTTTTTTGCGGAGTTTCATTATAAATCTTTAAGGAATAAAGTCACATTTCTCATGAAGGCGTTTCCAACGAGCGCGTAAACGCAATCCATTGCTTTCGCTTCGCAATTCGAATATATTAAACCTGGTTTTTTGTTCTTTAATTATCTTTTGTTTTATTAAAATAAAAAAGTCGAAATTTCTTCATATCAGTTAACGAACGGAAAACATATTTAGCTAAAAATTGCAAAAGATAATAGAACTTACGTTATAGATAATAGAACTTACGTATTATTTATTTTATTTGACTTTAAATTTCTTATATAATTATTACAACAAGCATAATTATAAGATTTATTTTATACAATTTTATTATTTTTGTAATACAGATTTCTATATAATTAATAAAAAAGTATAAAATACTTTTAATTTTCTTTTTATGTAGAAAAATAATTAAAGTAAGTATATAAAATTAATTAGTAAGTAAAATTTAAATGTAGTTAAAAAAATGTCTAAATTAAACTGGTCTATAGTTTCTGCATCAACCGCAGCATGATTCATTGCATAAATCGGCAAACTAATCACGCGAGACAGTGACATTGGCAACGCTCTACGTCTCCCATTGCATAAACATTGAGCATTCGTTGAAACAACACTAATCATAATTACCTTCATTACCAGCCAAGTAATGCTGGATATTATTCTGGGATATCGTTGACCCCGAGTTTATTTCGCAGACGTAATAGTCTTTACGATCACTATAACGATCTCAGTGCAGCCTGTTGTTTCTCAAAAGAGTGCCTTTCAAAAGGCAGAAAACCTTCATTATCTCTCGTTGTTTGTCGTTAACTGTAATACAATTGTTTTTCCCGAGTAGAGAATCAATCAGATAATCGTGACATTAAAATTATTTTACGTTGATTCGATTTTTTTATATGCTGCAATTTTTAATATTTTATACGTAACGCGTGAACGCAATAAAATATCTATATCTATATTTGCAGATTTATTGCAAAATTGACTGTTGTGTAAGTTATGTTAAAATAATATTGCATATAGCTTGAGAATGATAACAACTTTTGTTAAAACAATTTCGTTAGATATCACTTATTAAAGGTCTGTTAAAAATTAGCTCTATTAAAAAAATAGCATACGCAAAAATTAGAAGAAAATCTAGTGAAAGGAGAGCTTTATCCTTCGATTAATTTTTGTTACGTGTAGAAAGACAGCAAAAAACGAATCGCCAAATTCCCCGATAGAAAGTTGTACAGCTAAGCCAATTTAGAATATACTCTCTCGAATCTGTCGAATTAATTAATTACATTTTATAGGGTAACTAATTTGATATGCTGACGCGCTTAGCTAGAGAGTTAGATGTAGTCGTTAGTGTCGTTTAATTATATATTTATCGTTCAATCTCTTTTGAGTTCGATCACTTTCACCGATAGTTTCGAAACGACCGACGATGTCGCGTGCCCGTAAGTACGCGCGATCGATTCCCTTCGGTGCCCGGTCCATCTCGTGTCATCTATCTTGCGAACTCATTTCACGTATATTCTTTTATACGCTTAATACGCGTGATGTAATCGATTGATTCGGCGCGCCGATATCTACCCCCGAGTTGCGCAACTCGAGTATATACGAAACATCAATGTTTTATTTTCAACCTCACGTTTTATTTCTTTCTTTTTTTCTTTTTGCTTTTCTTACGCGATCTACAAAACGTATACCTGTACCCATTGCTGGCGTATCGGAGGCAAAGGGAGGCAGAGGGAGTGTCGATCTGCTTTCAGGATCACTTTCACGCACAATTTCGAAACGGACAATTTCGAGTATGAGCATCGAGGCTCCTCCTCTTTCCAGGACCTCAATTAAACCTCGATTATATCCGATTCCGGCCGGCCGGCGAAATTGCGCGCCTCTTTTCTCCTTCTCTCTGTCTCTCTCTCTTCTCTCTCTTTTTTTTCTCGCCGATTTTGATCGTTCTCATCAGATGTATCGTCACATCGCGGCTAAAACTACCGGCTAAAACTGTGCGCGCGCGCGACCGACGGTGAAAGTAGACGAGAGTGGCCAGTCAGACGGCTCTCATTGTGTGCCTCGCAGACGTTTCGCGAAAAGGCACGACTTCCCGGTCTTCCGATTATGCAACTGGTCGAACCAGTTTTGAGGGCAGATCGCCAAACCGTCCGTTCCATGGGCAGATCGACCAAACAAACGTCCGGTTCATCCATCTCGGACCGGTTTCCATCTCGAACGATTTATGATCGGTCTCCAGAAGCCTCTCTCATCAATGTTATTCATCAATATTGCTTAATTCTAGCTTATCAAAGAGGGGAGAGAAACCTCTTTCATCAATGTCTCCTTCCATCTTGTTTATCCTTCATCTGTTTCGTCGCTCTCTGTCACGAAAGTAAAAGATAGACTAAAAGCGAAAATAATATAATTAATCTATAGTATCTCTATTTTATAAAGCACTAATTGTCAGTAATTAAAATCAATGAAATTCTGCAACGAATATAATTTATAGTTTAAAAAGATGATTTGTACAAGTGACAGAAGTTATTACTTTGCTATTATTTGTAGTTATTGAAATTAGCATATCGAAGAAATATTAGAAATATTATTTATTGAATACTTTTGAATGAGGGAAAAATTATGAAAAATTATATTTCTTGATAAAGTGACACCTATGCATGTCAAGTAACGAGGATTATGTATTTCTGACAATCAATTTGATTTCTTATTTTCAGATTGATACGACGGATATGTATCGAGCGGAATACGAATTGCTGTCTTGAGCGTAACCGTCTTGAGCGTTATTCGGCATTGTTACCGAAGCAATGCCTGATGTATCGTATGAGATAATATCTTACTAACGTTAAGTAAGAATTTCAAAACAATTTCGAGATAGAAACTTAGAGTAAACACGACGATACTTAATTGCGGGGCAATCTGCGCTTTCGCAATGAGATAGATCAATTTGGAGTCACGTCAAGTGCCACGGATTCCACGGTCGTTTTATGACTGTCGATTTCCGCGTTTGAAGCTAAGCCATAACGGGAGCGAATTAAAACCGCGGATCGATACATCGTTTTAGTTAATAGAAGTTGCCGTATCTCCTCCGCGGCGGGAAGCGGAATGGCTCGCGGCGCAGATTATTTCTCTCGATTATGCAAAGGAGAAATAATTGCGTCGTCAATTCGAGTCAAGTTGAATGCGGAATCAATCTCTGCCTCTCATAAGAAGATATGCGTACGTCTCGATCCCGGTATTAAAATCAAATATTCCACTTTCGTCGTCGTGGCGTGTGTATTATGCGTAAGGTAGCATGTCTTGCGTCCTCCGTGTGAAATGATAAGATCAGAAATATTTCCGGTCGCGCGCGCGATGAAATGCACGCACGTTGCGCGTCCGATGATGACGCAAGCGTTTCTTTTTGCCCGACGCGGCCGATTTCCGCGTCTTCTCGTTACGCAAGACGGGCGGATCAGTTTTCTGTACAGGGGCCACCTTTGTGCAATTACGGGTACATTTCAGTGGCAGACTTTTGCAAACAATAATGGCATCTCTTTCACGTGAAAGCTGACGTCCTACACGTCGTCGCACGCCGCAATAAAAAAATACGGACGAGAGAGAGAGAGAGAGAGAGAGAGAGAGAGAGAGAGAGAGAGAGAGAGAGAGAGA